TAAAAATAATGATAATCAGGTGATAAATTATAAAAATTAAGAAAAAGGGAATTTCGCATAATCAAAGAAAGATTATCAAATTAGAGAAACTTATGTTACTACGGTAACAATAGCTTAGTTTTATTAAATATTGTTTTATTAATAAATTTTTTGAAAGAATTATTATTTTCAAATAAATTATTATATGTAATAAAATTTAGTCATTTATAGTTAAACTTTTTCTATAGTTATCACTCTCAGAAAAGTCAAATTTGATTATTATAGAGAGAATATGACTATAGAGAGAGTTTTTTATTATATTTATAATTAAATAGAAAATAACTAAAGATGAATATAACTATAAATGAATGTAATTATAGAGATATTTAATTATATAAATAATATATATAATATTTTAGATATTAAAAATCTAATTATTATTATTAAAATTAATATTAAAAAATCTAATACAAATAATTTTTATAATAAAATAAACAAAATATATAAGGTTATAAATTATATTAAAAACTATTTAATAATATATTTGTTTTAATAATTATATATTTAGTTCAAACTATTAAATATTTTTAGTATTATATTAGTATATAAATTATATAAATTAATTTTTTTATCGTTACTATATCTTCTAAAATAAATTAAAAAAATAATAAAATATAATAAAAATTAAATTTTTTATATAATAAAATTTTTATTTTTATTAATAAATAATTTTTATATATATCAAATAAAGTTAAGAATTTATATTATAATAGATTTTTTAAATTTAATTTTATAAAAAGCCAAATAATTTAATTATTTATTTTAAAAATCAATAATTTTATAATTTTTTTATTTAATTAAATTTATAAAAATAAATAAAAAAATTTATTAAATTATTTAATTAAAAAATTAATTAATTTAATAACTAATAATTTAGATTATTTTAATATTTATAAAATAAATAAATAATCTTGTTATTTATTATTACTAAATTAATAAGTAATTAATTATAGTTTTATAAAAATATTATTTATTTACTGATTCAAATAGAATTTATTATTTATTTTTAAAATAATTATCAAAATACTTTATAATTATTTATAATTTTATAAGTTATTTTAAATAATAATATCAAAATATTTATATAATAATTAAAATTTTTCTTTTAATCTTTTATATTAAGTTTTTTGTAAATTTTAACAAATACTATATAAGTCATTATATTTTCTCTTTCTTTATTATTTTTTGTAAAAGTATTCAAGTTCAGAGTTAGATAGATTAATATATATAAATAAATTTTTTAGTGAAATTATAATACATAATTTTTTAGTTATTAAAATACAGTTTTTTGTTCAAATATCCAAATAAAAAGTTAGTTATTTTATAATAGTTTAAATAATAAGATAGCAATTTGTAAAAATTTTTAATAATTATTAAAAATCTAATATTTATTATATGATAAAAGATCAGATGAAACTCTTTTCAATAATTACATTTTCAAAAAATAATAGTTTCTTTTAACAAAAGTTTATATTTTTGAATTAAGTTTCAAATTGGCTTCTTAAATTTATTGAAATATTTGTTATAAGTGAATCAAATATTCTTCAAATGCTAGAAAGAAAATATTTAAGTTATTACTATTCACATTGACAAACTTTCAATTATAATCTCCAAGTACTATGTATATATGCATTATATAAAGTATTATTAGTAGAAAAGAGACAAATCTATTAGAGTAATTTGTCTATTTTCTACTGATTCTACTTCGTATGTCAAAAAGTTGCAGATATATTATATAATCCAAAGACATTACATTGAATTTATAAAGTCCTTTTCAAGAAGATATGAGCGGCTTTATTCAGATTGTTAATTGCAAGCTAACGATTCGTTCAATTTTACAAATTGAAACAATTTTTTGCTGTACCGTAATAAAGTTGCTGTCAATAAGTATTTTTAAAACACAGCCAAAAACGTTTTATTTTTAGTGATTTTGGTTTATTGAAGCAGACTTACTATAACTGTTCCTGATCTAACTTTTCTTTATTTACTATAACTGTTCCTGATCTAACTTTTTATTTATTTACTATATTCAACTGTTCTTGGAACCAAATTTGGTTTAATTAGTGCTTGGGGTTGATTGTGTTTCGCTTGGCATGGTTCAATTACGTACCACAGATCGCCACGGATTGCTCTAACGCTAAGTTAAATTTACGCGATACTCAAATGACGAAGCATGATCCTTTTTTTAGATTTCTGGGTACCTATGTTCGAACATGAATTCTTTTTTAGATTTCTATTTAAACTCTGATAGAACGTTTTCAAACAAAATAATTTTTACAAAAACTCATCATCAAATAAAAAGTAAGATGAAAATCACAAAAATAATACCGATATCGTTTTTATTAACAGCAACTTTTATTACAAACAATGCGATTGTTCCATCAAAATCTCTAGTACATACAATTCCCTTGCAAAAAAAAGAATTGCCAGATAACTATACATGGAAGCAAAAGATAACTCTTCAAAAAAATCGAGCATTTTCAAAATACTCTAAAATAAAGGACGTAAAAAATTTATTAAAAGGAAGGAAAAACATTGAACTTAATTCTCGTAGTGGCATTATTAATAGTCCCTTGATTGACGAAGGAGATGACACCGGCTATTATGGGCCAATAGTAATCGGTGGACAAAGTTTCCAAGTATTATTTGATACCGGATCCTCGGACCTTTGGGTTCCATCAATAAATTGTCAAGGTTCTTGTGTAAATCGTGCAACCTTTGATCCTGCTAAAAGCTCTACTTATCATAGTGTTGGAACACCATTTAATATCAAATATGAAAAAGGCAAAGTTTCAGGTATAACAGCAGCTGATGATATTGCAATTGCTGGTACAGTAGCAAAAAGTCAAACTTTTGGATTGGTAACCGCTCTTTCTAATGCTTTTACTGGTGATAACTTTGATGGTATTATCGGAATGGGTTTAGACCAACTAAGTGTTCTAAAAGCCAAAACTCCTTTCTCGAATATGGTTGAACAAAATTCGGTCAATAAACCCGTATTTGGTTTCTTTTTGGGCCGAAAAAAGGATAACACAGATGCCCTGAGCCAACTGACTTTAGGTGGTGTTGACAATTCAAAATTTACGGGTAATCTTCATTATAATAAAGTTGTAGATGCTTCCGGATTTTGGAATATTGATTTGGATGATGTTAGTGTTGATGGAAAGATGCTTGGAATCAAACCAAACACTGCCACAATCGATACCGGTACCACATTTATTTATGCGCCTACTGAAGATAGTATTACTATTCATAGTGCTATCTCAGGTTCAAAGTTCGACGAAATTAATGAATATTACATAATTCCTTGCGACACTCAATCTGCCGTTTCTCTTATTTTTGGTGGCATTAGCTATGAAATTTCGCTTGAGGATTTGTCAACTGGGACAGATGATCCAAATACTTGCATTTCTGGAATTCTTCCTGCTAGCACAGATGCTTGGTTAGTTGGGGATGCTTTTTTGAAAAGTGTTTACAGTGCATTTGATATCCAAATGCAGGCTGTTGGATTTGCATCTTTAGTAAATACAAACAGCCCTGCCAAAAGTGTTGGGACAAAGTTCAGCGGTCAAAAAATTCACAGCAATCTAATACTAGTTATGGCAGCCCATTTTTTAGTCTTGGGCTTTCAGATATATTTTTATTAGATACACTAGATACACACATTTAAGCAATAATGTACATATTAATTTTGATAAAACCTATATGATTAGAATAGATAAAGCTTATTTATTTAATGATATTTTTATTTTCTAGAATCTAAACCTGATAATATCAACATCCCACTAGTCGCAGAACTGATTTCAAATGATAAATTATATATTAGTCCTAAATCATGTAGCTATCGCTATCCACCAAATTGGGGTTTACAAATATAAAATAAGTATTTTTATAGTTCTACTTAAAAATGAATAAATAAATAACTAATTCTTTAAAAGTTTAATGAAAGATGATTCTTCACTACGTATTTATAAGCCATTTTTTTTTAGATTGCTTTTATCAATATTGTACACGGACATTGTCCAGTCGAACGCAGGACATTGGGTGGTAGATGTACCAATAAAATTAAACATACGTATGTATATCGATATGGTGCATAAAATCTAAAGTCACCAAACGTTTGTATTTATAAAATGTATAAACTTCTTTACTAAGAAATAAATACAAAATTTAATCCGTGAATATGTTCAGAAAAGGCCTATTCTATCATATTCACAGATTAAATTTTGTATTTACTTCTTAGTAAAGAAGTTTATACATTTATAAATACAAACGTTTGATGACTTTAGATTTTATACGATAACGATAACAACAATAATAATGATAATAATAATAATAATTATCGTTAGCGTTAAATTTTGATAAAATGATAAACACTTTGCATCCAAATGTTCTTATAGAAATTCGCTACAGTATTAAAATGCTTGGCACAGGTTTAAATCGTAAGTGCATGTACATGTATACGTACAGTTGGGGGTATTTGGTCCACTATATAGATTAAATTTATGTATAGTCTCATATGTAAAATGATTAGACCAAATTTTTGTGTAATATATATATGAATAATCTACATGTATATGAATACATAACTTTATTAGAGTTTACGTAATAATTTCCATCGCTGATTGGTTGATTGCACACAGGGTCTTCTAAATCAACCAATAAAGATGCATAAATTTTGATCAACAAATCGTTACAAGGAAATTAAAAAGACGAATAATGTGAAAAATACAGAAAACAAATGCTTAATCCTGGCTTGAAGCAATAATAAAAAATGTCGGGGAGACAATTTCACATATAATATTTTCTCCAATCATAACCTTAACCCTTAATCTTAACGCTAAAATTATCCTTTAATATCAATCGATCAGAACTTTGGGGGAAATTAGTAAATTCTTTTTTTAGTTTTTTTAAAAAAAGCTCTCTACAGTCGACTTTCGATATAACACGTGCAGATTCTATTGAGTTTATATTGTTTACAATAGGATCTGCACGTCGTTATATCGAAAGTCGACTGTATTACATTAAAATATAGTTTTTGCTAAATATCTGAGCGAAATTTCTGAACAAGTTTGAAATATGGTAATTTAATATAAAAAGACTATCAAAAATTGACATATTTCAAATTGTATCTCCTCAATAATTTACATATTAACTTGTTTAGAGATTTCGCTCAGATATTTAGCAAAAGCTATATTTTTAATGTAATAGAGAGCTTTTTTTAAAAAATTATTAATAAAGTTATCATGTAAATTTTTGTTAAAAATATATGAGGCCAATCAAGTATACGAATATCATTATTCATAAGTAGAGTTTGCTGTGTGTTTTGGATCATTGTCTTGAAAGACAATATCATTCTTATTAATATTACCTTACCTAATTGTTTCTAAAAGATCATCATTTAAAATTTCACGGTACAATTCCTTATCCATACGACCATAAATGCGCATGATATTGCCAACGCCATAGGATGAAAAGCAGCCCAAATTTTACTGTATATTTCACGTGATGCTCGTTTAGTAGTTCATTATCGTTATCAGATTTCCAGTAATATTCACGTCCGTCCGAATTAAAAATCATAAATTTTGACTCGTCAGGCTCCAGTCATCAGTTGTCCAGTGTTGATTTTTTTTGTGAAATTCAAACGTTGAATCCGATGTGTTTCTTAATATATGGTTTCTTTCGCTTAATTCGTGAAAAAAGACCATTGCGATATAAAGTTCGCTTTATTGTGCTTGTGCTGACTTTGATTTTATCTTTCGATTTTCAGTTTTGTTGGAGGGAAGCTGCAGTAGAACAATCACCATTCGAAATTAGACGTATGATATTTCGTTCATCACGACCAGTAAAAATTCTAGGATGACCTGGTTTTGGTAAGGTATCATGAGTATCGTTTTTTTGTTTTATTCTTATGATGGTGGATTGGGAAATATTTTCGCCGTTTGCAATAAAACGAGAAGAATATCCTTCTTGAAGAAGAGTATAAATTTGTGATCTTTTTTTGATGGGATATGTGCCATGATAATTTGAATGGTATGGGATGAAATATTATATTCTCAGGTGTATTTATATATAGGTGTGTATTGTTTTTTTGATGTGCTTATATACTCAAAAGAAATGCATCACTGGTTTGGCGTAAGTATTATATTTATTATTTAAATTACGTGAGCAGTTTATTTAGGCTTTTAACTATATATGTGATGAATTTCATATGTCTGTTTCAGTGATGCAATACTTTGAGCGCTACTGTACGTATATCTAAATTTTTAATAATTATTTATGAATTATATATCATTTTAAAGCTAATTGATTATTTTTTGAAAAAAATAATACAAGACTTGTGGCAACTTAAAATTCAAGAACTGTTTTGATTGGAAATTAGAAAAAAATTTCTCACGCTTTATATATGAAAATGGTATATAACTAATGAACAAGATTTAGGTAACTTTTATTTAAAATGAAAGAACTGTTTTAATTATAAAATCAACAAAATTTTTTATATGTATTTTACTATACGTATTGATTTAAGTCGGACGTTACTTTTTGGGGTACGTACATACATGTATTTCAATTATAATTAAATACATATGTGAATCACTAACATTAATATGGCTCGAATTTTGAGAAAACGCTCTTTACTTTGAATTATTCTCTTTCTATAACTCCAAAAATTCAAAACTCACGACTTTAAACCCTTTAGAATTATGGACTACATAAAAGTGATGAAAAGTTTGTGAATATATAAGAATATTTTGGTCGAAATATTTTTGCGTTAAAAAGACGAGCCATAGTAAAGCGAAAATAATTTGAGTCTGTCAGTTTATTTCCAATATTTTCAAATAAAAAAAATCCAATTAAATATATTATAATTTAATCTTATTACGTGTCATTTATTCTTTGGGATATAATGACATTTTAGTTGAAATATTTCGCGTTAAAAAATGAACCGTAGTAAAATGAAAATAACTTATTTTCAAAAAAAGGTATTTTAATATACGTACATATGTAATAAGCCTTGACATGGACGAAATTTATAAGTTTGAATATGTACGTACGTAAAGACCAGAGTTAGCATTCAAAAACAATAAGTTGATTATTGAAATTATTAATTTTAACTAAATTGAATATTCAAATAGTAGAAAGAGTCATAATGACAATTATAGAATAATTACACAGTCACTCTGGTTATAACAAATCTTCTTTATAAGTATACTAATAGAAAGTGTAGTCAAAGCCTAATTTTCAATTAAGCAAAATAGTGAAATCAAACAAATTGAAATTGGCTTACTTCATTTTCCTATCGTCATTATTCTCGTTATTTTGAAGTGAAACACGAAAATATGCGATTTGCCTATTTTTTAAGTTTGGGCTGAAATCGTAAATATGCTTAAGCTCCGCGTAATTCATATGGATATTTGTCCAGAGCTAAGTTGACGAAAATAGGACCATGCAAATATGGTTGTGTTAAGCCACGAGAGCTGTCAAACTTGATTTTATATCGTGGCGCTGTTTGGCAGTATACGTGGACAAATATGAAACAAACTAACGAAAACTTTTAATGCGGTGATTCACGCTTTATTTGTGTTTAGCCGAATTCATCAATTTGTCGCCCGGAAATTACATTAGAGTAAAAGGATGAAATTGAATTACCGGTTTAAAACGAAACATATTTTACCTGCAATTGATTGAAAACGTTGTTCTAAATTGTCCAATTGATCTTTTTTAAATACATGTAATGTATAAACTTATGAAGCATTAATAGCACAGTTCTATAAAATGAAATCTTTGGGCTTTGTAATATTTTCTTTGTAGATCTCTAGATCTTGAGACACAGTCTTTCATTCAAATCCGGTTCATGAGGAATAGTTAATTGTGATTGGTGATTCGTCATTTTCAAGTACGATCTAATCTAATTTTTGATCTGCTCAATGATCCAAGTCGATGCAACAGAATCACAAGCATTAACATATATATATATATATATATAGTAAATATTGTATCCTAGTTGTCATCTCTCATTTCAGTAACAAAAGTTGACAAATTGTTTCGGAATTTCGTAAATATATGGGATACAGTTTGACAATATCCATTTTGATATCTAATTCTTACTTGAGAATCAATGCGTTCCAAAAGCTTCTGATACTTTTTCTCAAGAATACATGGCAGTTAAGAGATTTTTGTAGTTTGATTTTGATTCATTATCCAGGAGGTACGTTTCAACTGGAATTTCGAGATCGTTTCATAATATCTCGGCGAAACTTTCAGGTGCCTTTATTCAGCTCTCTGAAAAACTACTTTTTTAATTTTCCATTATTACGTAGTTAGAATATAAAGACTTGAATTAGCTATTATCGTTATCTGGGGATATTAATCAATCACGATTTGTAATTTCTAGTGGCTTAGATTTTTGTTTTCCCGTTATAGCTTTGAATGTTAAAATTTATAGCTACTGCACTTTTGTATAGTCACACCTCTGCATTCACACTTTTCCAGTTTCAGCTAGGAAATTTGACCACAGCCACACACTTTTTTGGTTCTGAGTGTGCGAAATACAACAATAACTCGAAACTTAAAAAAAAGATAGCGATAGCATTTGTTCTCGGACCCCGTTAAATTGAAGTGGTCAAAAAGAAATCAAGGTTTATTATAACTTTTTCTGAACCAACTTTGGAGCAGGTTTACTTTGAATCAAATTAAGTTTATGCAGATTTTAATTGGACTTCCCCCGTGTAGGTGATACTTGACTTATTCAAGTTTAGGTTTAGTAAATTGCAACAGTAACATTATCTAATCACATAACTAACGATAATCACGATAATTTAATTTATCGTTATTTCAAAGCTTTACCTTGTGTGTTTAACGTTAATGGCAATTTAATCCAGTCGCTAGGTAAAAAAGCCCTCTAACATATGTAAAATTATCGCAATTTCTTGAATTTATCGAATAAATATATGTTTAATACATATACATGTATAGTGTATAAGATATTAGCGGCATTTAAACAGTAATTTACAAATTATGTGTTTATTCAGATTAAAAACTTAAAGTATTGCATACACATGAATTCAATAATATTGTATCGACTATAAAAAGAACTTGTCTTCTATGCATTGCGAACATAAAACCGTAAACAACTAAGATCATCCGAAAATGATATACATATGCATGTGAATTAATAATTTTTACTCTGCTGATTACTACAGTGCATGTGTCGACGTGGGCATGTAAAGAAAATACGTACATGTACATAACCGTCATGAAAAGTGATCTTTTTGATGCTGCTGCTGTTGTTGATGTGAGTGTTTGTAATACATGTAGTAAATTAACTTTATTCCAGATTCTAGATTGCTGCAAAAAATTATGTAGTCTGAAATTTCAGTAAATAGAGGTTTAAAACATGCTCTTCGATTTTTTGATTTGGATTTTGGAAGTTTAATCTCGCGATATATAATAAACCAATCCCTCCAACATTCACTCGTTTCTTATTTCTTGGAGGTTCTTAATGAACCAAATATCAATGGACCAGATCAAATATGTCTTATGATTCTCAAGCAGTTCGTTATTCCTAAATCGCATCGCTTCCAACGCTTTTAAAAAATGACAATTTTCGGTCATTTTTACGAAAAATCCAAATTCTTCGAATGTTCGAATATTCGAATTTGAAAATCTAATCAATTCGTACCGTTTCTCGTAATCAATCGCAAACGGCTAGACTGGCCACAAAGTCATTGAATAGTTCTAATTACTCGCTCTGTTTATCGTACAATCTTCTACTTAAATTGAGAATGTTCATTTTTAGAAATGATGCTTTTTAATCCTTTTGTTTAATATTTGTTCGTTATCGTTTTGTTTTTACTCCCAATGATTGTTAAATTTATATGCTTAGTTTTTAATCTCCTTTATTCGAGTCATTATAAGATTTAATTAAGAGAGCAAAATGACACTATCAACATTTTTTTACAAATATGCTTTAAATAGAAATAAATCAAATTTTTAATATATTTTGAGGAATAAAATGAAAGTTAATAGTAAAAAGTTCATTGGATTATGCTTGAGAATTATCTTTTTGAATGCACAATTCTATCAACTCTTGTTATAATTACGACACAAATTATTGTCTCGAATAATATCGGGCTCGGACAACCTAATGCTGCGTAACTCGTAAATAATGCCCGAATCCAATCGGAATGAAATCCGAAAATATAGCCTAATCGGAAATGTCGCTGATTTTTACTAATTAAAATCTAGTCGAAATTTTAGATGCCGTAGTTGAATCGAATTTAACAACATTCGTGATCATGATTAAAGGGATTACAATTTACACCCGTTGGCATTATGGCCTCTGGAGTTCAATTATTTAGATTATTTTTAAAACTGTTTTTGATTCTCTATTTTTGTTATTTAATTCTACGCCTTCGGATAAAACTAAAGAAGGATAATCGATATCAGATGATATTACAATAAATTGATGCTTTAATTTCAAAAGAATATTAAAGCGTATATGCCCGAAAATAAACTATGCAGCAATTGTCGTTATTCAATATTTAGACGAATAAAACCCGAATTTGGATGCAAATTTACAATTATGTTGGTATAACATTAAATTATGCATGTAGACACATGAGCAAAATTATTAATTGACACGTAATTGATGGATATTACGTACATGAATTTTTTTGAGACTCAAGACATACATGTACATAATGACTATAATTTTCTCAAATCAACAACTCGATACGTAATGAAATGCGTTGGTCACATAATAATAACCCCACGTGATAAAAAGATTTTCAGGGAAATTCCTTTATCCGTAAAAATTCTGTTAATCAAATGATCAGTTTGCATCACACAATTGCCACCTCCGCGGAATTATATGCGCGCGCGTAGATCTGAATGAGAGTCGTTTTCAGGAAAGATTTGCAAGATCAAAACTTTTCAATCGCTTCCAGCGGGGAATTTCAGATCAAGATAAAATCGCGTGGTTTTCAGAATCAAGACGAAAATAAGAGAGAGCCGTATGTTCTGCACGAAACAATTTGGTTTTTTGTCAAAAATACATATTAGATAATATTATATAATGTTAGATAATAATGATTAAATTGTTAGATAATTACAAATGTAATCCTTTTTTTCCTGTGAGACAAATAAAAATGTATGGCCATCGTTGAAAAAACAGGTTTATTTTGGTCTAGATCAACGATATTTTCATACATAAACCAATCTTTATACATGTACATTACGGTAATTGATCCAATATTCACCAATTGAAAAAATTGCAGCCGTAATCAACTTTATGCTATTGTAAAAATTTGGTCTGGTCATTTCGCGAAGTTCCACACTCTCTAACCAATAAAAGAAAGTTTGCCTCTCTGATTAGTTACTTTCCCTTCTTCTCTTTAGACTTGTTAAAGAGAATATACAATGATGTCATATAAGAATATAAGAATAGGTTCGTCAGGAGAGTTTACAAATAACCTGTTATATAAATGTGAGATATAGAATAAACATGTATTTATGAATGAATCTATTTATTACTAATAATTTGTAAGAAAATTCGTATTACCTTGATTTAATTAAAAAAAAACTGCTGACAAATACGAATAATTTTAAAAAACTCGCGTTTTTACGAGTAAAATTGATAAGAATATGATTTTGGCTCAAAATTAAAAATTGGTTTTTTGCCAAGTGAAATTAATATAAATGATATAATGGAATTATCAAAAGTATGCGAATATAGAGTTTTGATAATTACGGAACAATGGAAATTTAAAGAATTCAGGGTCTGGAAATGAGCGAAGGGTGACACACTAAAAATAGAATTAGAGATAATATACTTGTTCTAGTGTGGAGGTTTACCGACTCGTTGTGATGTATTCAAAATTTACATTTGCAGAAAAAAAATTCCGATGTAAATGTCTTACATTCAATGAACAAATCGTCACTAATAAAATTTCGAGATTTGAAAAACAGTTGTGATCAGTGTGTAAGGTTTGACTTGATTTATTTTCAAAGAGTCGAATGTATAGACGCAAATAAATATAAAAACTCGTAAGAAGCTCATGTCAGAAAAAAAATATAAATGCTAAAAAATAGTTATTCTTATCAACTAAACTTTAGGCAAGTCCAAAATCCACACTACTAAAAATATGTTTTCCCAGTTCAGCATCCATGAGCCAATTACAACTTCATCAACACCAAATGACCTTGATAAGAATATAGATGATGAGCTTCGGTTCTTCAATGCTAGTGCTTCCCGTCGAAGATTGTTATTAAATCCTCCATATGAATTAACGTTGAAAATATCAAATCTCGTATTACCATTTCCAAATACGCAAAAATTGGATCCACCACCAAGGCCACCAAACGCATTTATGATTTTTCGTCGTGACTTGGTGGCCAAATTAAAAAGCATGATGGATAAGCCGTGGGAAGCATTGCCACATAATTCAATTATTTCTAAAGTCGCTGGAAGGCTTTGGGATGAAGAATCTAAAGAAGTACGAAATTTTTTTTATGTTTTGGCCGATATTGCTATGGAAGAACATTTAAAAATTTACCCTGGTTATCGATTTAACCCGAAAAGTCGCCAAGGGGACAATGCACAAAACAATGCTGCTAAGCATGCAGCAGCAGCAGCAACAGCGCCACCACCACCATCATCATCACCATCACCATCACCATCATCATCATCGCCATCACAACCTATTTTGTCAAATAACCCACTGACATCAGATATACCTTCTTCGCCCGAAAGTGAAATAGATATGCCTTTGACACCTATGGAATCTCGTACAATATATGAATATCATAATAGTTCTATTTGTTCAAGATCATCAAGTTCGGCCGAGAAAATTCCGGCTGGAAATAAGGAAGTATATATTCCCGTTTCTGCGGGTAATAACATTTGTGGTGCTGAATTTGTTTCACAAAATAACGGCATCGAAATACAAAACAACTCCTTTGAGTTAGATCAGAACTTACATTATCAGCCTATTTGGTATTTTTCTGATGCTTTATATCCTACTCAGATCTTTGACATTGTTCATTCGCAAGAGAATATTCTTCCCCCAAATATATACTTAAACTTAAACCAGTAAGTAATTAATCATTGAAAAATTTCTAGAATATAGCATATGACCAAATTACACATAAGAGTATGCAAATAGAATTAATTATATGCTAAGAAATTTGTAAAATTTGTTAAGTGTCATTTTCAATAGTCCGATTTTGCGTTGACTCGAATAATTTTTTTAAGTTTTAATTTAGTGTCATTTTTGATAGTCCAGTTTTGCGTTGACTCGAATTTTTTTAAGCTTTGATTTTTCATTCTTTAAGTTTTTTTTCTGTTCTGTTTTTTATTGAATATTAAAAATATTTATCAATTTTATGATAATACTCGTTGCTTTATCCAAGTAAAATTGATACGTTACAAAACTTAAAATTTCATTATGTGGCATAATTGTAGTTCCGGAAATAACGATAGGCATATTCGGATTTCAGGTCTTTTTCTAACAGAAAATACCTATAAATGTAAAAGAATTTGCGTATTTTAATGCTTGAGTCAAAAAGTTTTGATTTAATTGTGACCCTGTTAGACGAGAAATAATCAAAAGATAAGGAATTTGTGTATTGACTATTGTTTTTCTTGCAGAGTTAAAATATTCACTGGAATAACGATAACAATAATAAATTCTTGATTTATTTTACAACTGAGATCTACCGCTACATTTCAGATTTGGTAAATTTACTAACGCTAACGTTAATGAAAAATAAACGTTATGATTTTCTGCTTAAAATTCAAGCTTTAACAGTTGACCTTTTTATATACAGACAAACATCCCTAAATACACCCTCTATAAGTGCACATCCCTCTAAATGCACAGCATGGCTGGGTCCAGCTCATAAGAGCTCTATATAATGCACACCCTCTCTAAATGCACGTTTTACTATGGTCCCAAGGGGTGCATTTAGGGAGGGTTGTCTGTATATTAAAGTTTTATTTCAAAAATCATTTTTCTAAGGCCTTATACACTACTTAGTTCATATCCAATACGCGTCTTTCTCCCTTACTCCAAAATCAGTTCTTGTTTTTCTGTTGCATAGTATAAAATTTAGTAGTTTCAGTATAAAGAAAATTTTAAACTAGCGCTTGATATCTGAACAAATTATAGGTATGTGAAATTGAATCAATTATTTGGCATGTTCTTTAAAATTTCCAATACTTAAAGCGCATCATGTTATGTGAATAGAATTTTCAGATATTTAACAAAATTTGTTGTTTTACTTTTGGTTCTGCCTTATTGATATTCAGAAATTTGATGATTATCGTTTCAAATATTGTATTTTATCGCATAAAGTAACCTACCTTGTAGTAAAGCTATAAAACTAAAAAATTTTGAAATTGTAGATCTTGTTTAATCGATTGTATTAAAAAACTAGACTTAAAATTTTCTACAAAGGGAGGAGGTATTTAAATAAAAAAAAACTAGAAAATTTTCCGATTTAAAAATTGGATTTGATTTTTTACTGAATTAAAACATGTCTATGTACGACATTTATAAGAAAAATATTATAAAACAGAAAAAAGTCAAAGGATATATTTCAAACAAGATACTTGTAAACATCTTTAAATACTAATATCTATTGGTATATACAGTCGGCTCGTCTTATAACGAATTATGTTATACAGCACAAATTTAACATCAAAAATCGTCTTATACCGAATTTTAGTAATTAAATATAAAATAACGTTTAAAAAAATTTTTTTATAATAAAGGTTTTTTGTATAATTGTTTTATATCAAATAAATGAAAAATCAGTCAATTTATCAGGAAATTTTTTATCAGACATATTAAATACACTTGTTTATATATTAATGGTCATAGCTAAGTAAAAACCCATTTTAATTAAGATTTAATAGTTGAATTATTTATAATAAAGAATAATTCTTGTATAAATATATTTGTCGGTATCCATTATTATACATGATTTTTACAATGTTCAATATACAAAATTAATTTTGTAATACTAAAATATACGTTGTATAGATTTTTATTAATACGAATATTAGATATTATATAAAAAATATTCGTTAAATAATATACCGAATTTGAGGCCCGAACACCAAATTCGTTATAAAGCGAGCAGACTGTAGGATTTTGTCAAATAATTTGCTATCACAAAGTTTTATATATATTCTAAGATATTTTCTATGACTGACATATTCCTAACAAACTCTGTATACATAAACATGTACATATACAAATGATCAATATAATAAATGCTAGAAACATTTGTATTTTATAAAATGTATAAATTTCTTTACTAAGGAATAAATAAAAAATTTAACTAAGGAATAAATAAAAAATTTAACTCTATTTGGTTAAATTTTCTTGGTTCATGTCTCATTACTTTTCTCAACCAACTGCACTTGGAAGATTTGCTCCAGATAGTAATCTATACAACTTTTGTCACTTTTTTCATTGCAATACAATATTACATGAACAATAATAGTGAAGTTACCATAGGCAAGCATCTTTTGCTTTCTTGGTTATAATATTTGAAATCAACAGAGAGTAATATGAAGAGTGACGAATGAAGAGTGATGAACAGAAAGTGTTTGAATAATATTTGAAATCAACAAAGTGATAAAAGTATTTGAAATTAATAAAAAATAATAAAAGTATTGAGTATTTCAAATCAATAGAGAATAGTGAAAGTATTAAATAGTATTTGAAATCAACAAAGAATAATAAATAAAGAGTAATATTTGAAATTAATTGAAAATAATAAAAATATTTGAAATCAATTAAAGATAATGAAAATATTAAGTATTATTTAAAATTAACTAAGAATAAACAGAAAGTAGTATTTAAATTTAACTAAAAAATAATAAAAATATTAAAATAATATTTGAAATTAACCAAGAGTAATAAAAGTGCTGAGTAACATTTGAAATTAAGAAATAAAAAATAATATTTAAAATCAACAAAAAGTAATGAGATACTAAAAATTAGAATACAAAAAAATATAAATTTTCTATAATTATAGCAATAATATTCTCAAAATTAATAATTAAATATAAAAGTTTAGCATATTCTATATACTAAAATTCTCTTTTTTAATTATTCTAATACTAATTTTAACTCTAAATCTAATTCAAATTCAAATTAATCAATATATTAAATGAAAAAAACTTGCAATCTAAATAACTATAATTTTTTTTGTCAATTCAACATATATTAAAAAAATATGAAGACTTTGCAAAAAATTAATAAAAATAATTATAAAAATCTAATAAAAATAATTCTAATACCAATTCTGATTTTAACTAAAAAACTTATAATTAAACAATTATAATATTTACTTAAAACAATTTATATTAGTCAAAAAATTTAAAAAATAATAATAAATAGAAATAAAAGAATATTAATAATATATCAACTCAAAGATAAATATTATATAATACAAAAAGTTATTTAAATATTAAAGAAATCAATAAAGTTAAAATATTATAATAAATAGTGAAAAAATAGTTTTAATTAACTTTATTCAGATTATTAAGTGATATAAAAGTTTTTAAAAAGATTAAAAACCAAATACTTTTATTTAAAACTAAAAAAGCTAATTAATTCTTTATTAATATTTGTTGTTAAATAAAATTAATATAATATTTTATAAAAATAATAACAAAAATATAGCTGTACTATTCAAAAAAAATATAATATAAAACTTATTTAGATAAATTAATATATAAAAATATAATCTATATTCAGTATTTGTATTTTTTATTATATAAAATTTTTTATATTTTATATATAAATAAAGAAATTAAAATAAATATAAAATTTATAAATTTAATAAATTTTTTCTATTTTATTTATTTATAATTATATATATTATTTTTTTATTATATATATTTTAAATTTTTTTATTTTTTATTAATTTATTATATATTAATATTTTTAATAAAATATTATTAAGTAAAATATTAAAATTAAAAATAATACTTTCAAATTTTATTTATAAAATAAATATATTTATTATAATTAATTAATATTGAAATTATTATTTATAATAAATTATTATTAAAAAACTAATATATTTAAAATTTTATTTCAAGTAAAGTTAATTAATAATTTAAAATATATAATTATAATTAAAAATAATATAGTAGTATTAAAAATTATTAATAAAATATAATAAAATACAAGTTTTTAATTTATTAATAAATACTTTTTATTTTTATATTAAAATAATAATATTATATATTTATATAATTAAAATAATTTAATAGATTAAATCTAAAAAATATATATTTAAATATATATTTTCTTTATTTTAATATAAAAATAAAAAATATTTATTAGTAAATTGAAAACTTTTATATAAAAAAAATTGTAATTTATTATATTTAATTAATAAATTTTATATAATTATATTATTTTTAATTATTAGTATAATGTATATATAAGTATTATAATATAGTTTAAATTATAACACATTACTAATAGTTTATTATATAAATTATTAGTAATACGTCATTTTAGATAATGCGTTATAATACCCATGTCTACCTTATATAATAAAAATTAAAAATAATATAACAACAAAAAATTATTAATAAATATAGTAAAAAATAAAAAATATAAAGTATTTATATAAAGTTTTTGATTTATCTAATAAATATTTTTTATTTTTATATTAAAATAAAAATTATATTATATATTTTTAATATATTTTTTTTAGATTTTTAGATTTAATTTTTATAATATTCTCTAATTATATATAATAATAATAATTTTTTTATATTTTATATTTTATAATTATATAATTAAAAATATTATATAAAATTAAAATTAAAAAATTTGAAAATATTATATATTTATTTTGATAAAAAAATATTTTTTATATTTTTATTATATTAATAATTTTGTTATTATATAAAAAATAAATATATATATATATATATTTTATAAATTTTTTAAACTAAATTTCAAGAATATAAAATTAATTACTCAAACTTATTATAATTAAAATTAAAATTTATTAAAATTAATTATAAAAATATTTATAATATAAATTTTGTAATCAGAAA